TTCTTGCTTTCTATCTCTCTGTCTCTTTCTGTCAGTCTGGTAAGTGCATGAACCCTACAGCAAAAAAAAAATTTCCTCCTAAAATAAATAAATAAATAGAACAATTCAACATTAACATTTAGTATTTCAAACTCACGTAGAAATTTGAAGCAGAACAATCTGCAGAGGATTTAAATTAACCGGCATAGAGCAACTGTTTCAATAGCAATGGCCCACTTTGCCCTATATATTCTCAGGTTAAAATTTATAAAAACCACAAGCTAATAAAAAATCTTAAATTATGTTACATTTTATAGAAACAAAGTAATATATTGACCAGTTATATGAATTTTTTAAAAAAGCACAACTATCCATTGAAAAACTGGTAAAAAGGGTAATGTATCTCCTACCCTTATTTTTTCCCTTAATAAAAAGTTTATTATTAACTGAGTAATGTAAGACAACCAACTAAATTCAGGGGTCTTCAAGGTATGAATTTGACAATACATATCCAATATAGAAAAAGTGAAATGAAACTTTAATTCTTAAAATTATTTAATGACACTGTAATTTAAAAAGAAATTCCTGAAAAAATAAAATTCAACCAGTCGTAAGGTCACATCAAATAATATAATTAAATAGTATATATTAATATACGTACAATATATTTGCACAATTCCTAATTTTTATAATATACCTAAGTATCTAATACCTACGGAAACAATTTTCAGAATGTTTCTGAGTCCTAACATAACATGAGAGCTTATATTTAATCAACATAAAATGTTATATTTCAAATTTCTGCAGTTAATAAAAAATCACTGAAGTTTATCAGACTCCATCAATGAATAGGATAATAACAACGTAACAGTTTAATCAAGTTAAATCATTCCTTAGCGCTTCCATTTAATAAAAGGGGACAATCAACAGGCTGTTCAAAACCAAAGCTTCCCTACAATTTCTCCACTCATCCTCATTCTGACCACACAACATCTCTTTTCAATTCAAACCAGGCATTCTGAAGCTCCCTTTCTCACCCTTCACAAACCTTAGTGGAATGAAGGGCATTAAAAGTAAGTAAACAACCAATAAATGTAACTACATTACTGAGTCATGTGGGGAGGAGGGCAACATGCAGAGAAAATGGCTAAGTTGTTCACATTGCTAAAGCAGACTTTGTTCTATAAACTTTCCAAGAACATTGGTAGAATGTTTCATTTTTAATTCATTCGAGCCCATTTAAAATTTACCTGAATACAGCAATTTGGCTAGGTTATTTTTGCTCTCACAAAATGCCATTTTTCTTAACACACCAAGAAAAAATACAAGTATGTTCAGCTTGACATTCTGACATGTTTTGAAGATCAGACTCATGTGAATCTACAAAAGAAAAGAAAAGAAGAAAAAAGAAAAGAGAACCTACAAAAGAAAGTTCTGTGACCATTTATAGGAGGAGGAGGATGAAAGGTGAAGAGAATTGGCAGCATGGGATCATGACACAGTTATATCTCAGACATACATTAAAAGGTTTTAGGTCATTCAGTATGGTTACACCGGTGTTACCAGGACTGAGTACAAACTCATCATAGCCAGCATACATTTGGTACTTAAAATGTCAAAAAGATGGTTCCAAGTTATCCGTGATCATCTCTTAATCCTTGAATGATTCTCTGAGGTAGGTACTATGATTATCTCTACTTCACAAAAAAACCGTAAACTGAATAAACCAAGGAAGGTACAAGAGGTAAACCGCTTCCCAAGGGAACCCATCTTGCATATGGTGGAGCCAGGCTTGTAAACTAGACAATCTTACTCTATAGTCCATGCTCCTGGATCGTATGACTGCATATGGATGTTGGGAATGCTACCATTCTTCATCTTAAATTCTCTCCTCCTCCCAAAAAGGCCCTCTCTAATAGAGCAGGATTTAGCTCTCCTTGTGTTTTCCCATGACACCTTGTATTTACTTCTCTACTCTAAACATTTTGTATTTACTCCAATTGCTTGCTTAATGTCTGCAAGTGTGGTGAGGATAAAAGTCATACATATGTTGTTCATTATCAAATTTCTAGAAGTTAGCTGTATCTAGCACATATGGAATATTAAACAAATATTTCACAGAAGAATGTAGAAGCATGTTACTACTGCTTTAAATACTAGTGTTACTACTGCGTTCAATACTAGTGTTGCTACTGCTTTAAATATAGTTCTAACTCCCAAGTAACATTTAGGAATCCCTATTAGTTATTGCTTATATTGACAATTCATCATCAATAATGGTAATAACTAATATTTATTTAGTGGTTACTATGTTCTTCGTCTAGTATCAAGTACTTTACATATTCTTTCCATTCAAGTACTTTATATCCACAAGAAATCCATTTTACATAAGGGGAAAATAGAAATAAGAGAGGTTAAGTAATTAGCCCAGTATCACAAAGCTAGTGAAATGTACAGCCATGATCTATCTGAATGTAGGCATCTGACTCCAGAGCACACTACGTTGCCTCTAAATAGGGCAATTTTAAAACTAATAGGTTATCTTTTTGAATAAAGAGGCATGGTATAAAGCAGGCTAGAAACCCAGAAAACATTTAAAAACAAAACATCTCTACTCCATGCACCTGTTTTGGCTTATTCAGTATTTAGATATATATAAATATAGTTCTTATATAGTAGAGTGGTAGAGTTAAAAAAAGAGACTTGTCTATACTTGTTTAATTTTTTTATTTAAAATACATGAAATATTTAGAAACTTTAAATAAGATTGTTTCTGATTTTCAATTTGTATAGATGGTGAATGAAGAATAAGGCAAGAGCTAAATGTGTTTTGATGGAGATAGTTGGCATCTAGCATTTTTTCATGAAGAGTGAACATGGAAATATACTTTTACAGGACCATCCTATTACAAAGACTTTGTAATTAATAGTTTGAAATAATTAACCAGAAAAATATTTGGTATTTATGGCCATCTTCAGAACTGACTTCACAGAGAAGTTGCAATGGTTTCTTGGACTAAGCAGAAACCCTACTTCCTCAACTAGTCTCAGCTAGTACAAAATAGCTCTATACAAGACAAATCACCCTACATGAAATAGTTTTTCTGATTACAGATAAGACCTCTTAAATTCTAAAGGGAAAAAAAGTCTCTGTGAATCTGCTACACTAAAATCTGAACAAGATAGTTACCCACCTCTGACAGATCTAATTATAATCTTACATATGAAAAAGGAAAATGATCCAGTATCTGTCTTAAAAGTCCTATATATAACTTCAGTATAATCATGAGGATACAATCAAACAACTCCAGATTGTGAGATATAAGACGAGTGGCCCAGACTCTTTGAAAATGTCAATTCAGTATCAAGACAAAGAGACAGTAGGGTGCTATTTATGATTTAAGGAGACCTAGAGAGACATGACAACTAAATGGAATACCTAATGCTTGACTTGATCCTAGATTTAAAAAGAAAAAAAACAACTTGGAAAAGGCATTACTAGAACTATTAGGAAATGTGGATATGGACTATATATCAACTATAATTACTGTATTAATGTTAACTTTCTTGGATATGCTATTATTATTGTGATTATGTAGGAGAATGCCTTTTCTTAAAAGTGTTAGTCTGCAGTTTACTTTCAAATGACTCAGAGAAAATAAAGAGAAAAAAAAAGGACTCAAAGTAAAGTAATTACTGAAGTATTTGAACGCTCATTGTATTTCTGTTTCAAATTTTTTTGTACATTGTTTTTGTGTTTTTTTTTTAATTAAAAACAAAGAGGGAAACAACTAAGAAGGGTTCTGCATCTGATTTTATTATCACACTTTTTAGATGACCACGATGTTTTTGGTTATAGCAAATGTAAAATAAAAATCTTTTGGGCTGTTGACTTAGATTTCTTATTATGATCTGTAAGTACCTAAATGCTATCATGAACAGCAGTTCTAAAACATGTATGCCAAAATCCAAACCACCAGTTTTAAAGATAACTTTTATTTTGCAAATAGAAAATGGTGGTGTATTTTAAAGAATATTCTCATATTAAGGGATCAGCAGATGGCATGGTGGTTAAGGGCTCTGGACTCCCACATGGCCAATCAAGGCTTGAGTTCCAGACCGGGCAGCTTGCTTTCTCATTTTCCCTCTTTCTCTCTCTGGCTCTGTACTGCTCCAGTCAAATTTAACATAAATATATAAAGTTAAATAATTCTTTAAAAATACTCATATTAATAAATTGTCAAGTGTCTTTTATACTTCATTGTTTCCTGTAAGAATCCCCTCTACCACTTTAATTCACACTGGTGTGTCTGTACTTTTGTCCTGACACATTATTCATAGTAATTATTCAATAAATAATTTTAAAAGAATAAAAGCAAGACGGGGATGTTTCTGTGTCTATAGCACTGTAAATGTAGATAGCAACTAAATCATTTGAAAGCATGTTAGTTAATTTAGAATGATTTTTAAAACTAAGTCAACCTAAAGGGCCCAGTTAGATACAGTATTGCTCTAAATCTACAGAAAAGACACTTATTTATCAGAATGGAAAAAGAATAAAAGAAAGTTTTAACATGCTTCAAATGAAAGTTACTCTTACTATGTTGTTCTATACCAAACTATAAGGTCTCATTGGGATGCTCTTCAGGTACTTGAGCAGAACCAAAAGGGTTTCCTGAGGAAAATTCTTGCTTTGTTTCTCTGTACTCTTAAACCTGGAGTCAATTTAAGGACAAAGGTGGGAGTGCCCTCAACAGAAGCAAGAATACGACTTAGTCAAGAACTGATTGTTCCTCATCTCTTAGCAACAGCCGGGATGTAACAACTGTTATTTAAAGGAGATAGTTTAAAGGACTTGTTAGCCTTTTCTTAGATCACTGCCTGTATCCTTTCACCAAGAAATCTACATACCTGGCAAACATTAGTTTAGCTACTTATAGAAATGCGTTCTTCCACTAAGTTAGTTATCATTCAATATTCTTTCTCTTATCTGGTCTCTACTAAAAATGGCAATGTGAAGAATGCCTCTGACTCTTCTGCAATACTTGTATTGAAGACAAATGTTTAAAGATTCGTAATATAAAGTATTTTCTTAGACATAGGGCCATCCCAAAATATGTGATTAATTGATACAATAGTAAGGTTATTTTCTTCAAAAGATAGTAACCATGAACTTCTTTATGGGTCAGGTAAGTCTCAATTATTCTAAGTAACATTTTAGTTTTAGAAATCATTTGTTCAGGCCCAGCCACAGTAATGCATGCTGGCTGATGCTGCTATTCGTCAGGCTGAAGCCACATGGGAGGCCTTGGTTTGATAGCCACCCCACCCCTAAAAGTCAGGAGCGGCAATAAGTGACTGCCATCCCAGCTACTTGTGAAGTTATGGTAGGAAGATCATGATATATTGACTTTGTCTAAATAAATACAAAAGAACATAGAAAAAAGGAAATAATTCTTTCTCTTTGTTTTATTGTAAACACACATGTGAAATGGTCGTATCATCATTCATTTTATTTTATATTATACACATATGTTTATGTGTGCATATATGATCATATAAGATGCATAATTATACACACATGCACATATGCGTATGTATATAATATACAGTCTATATAATATGCCTACATATGTGATCTATGTAATATATGCATACACATATACTACATATATGATATAAAAGTTTATAATATATATTTATGTAATAAAAGTATGTATAATAGATAAAATATAAGTGACTAAATTACATGCATATATTATTTAAATTTTTTTCATTCTTTTAGGAAGCCCTGGTAGTGCCAATAAATCCTGTACAAACCACTTGCTTATGCATAATTTGCTAAGTGCTCGATTTTTTTTTCTGTCTTTTTGGGATACAGGGTCTTCCTAGGTTGCTGAAATTGGCCTCAAACTTGTGATCCTCCCACCACAGTTTCCTGAATAGCCACAGGTACAGGTGTGCACCATAGCACCAGGTACAAATGATTAATATTTATACATCAATATGCAACCAATATTAGCTGCTATATTATGTGTAATATTCTTAGAACTCTTTTTAAAATTAAAATTGTTAAAGAATATTACCACTGAGTCAGCTGCAGTGACCCAGACAGCACAGGAGATGCTATGGGGTGCTAGAAGGCATATGGGAGTGCTCCAAGTTGGCTTCCAAGATTAGCCTGAGCATGCCCTGGGCACTTCCATGACCCTGACTTATTGCAGGGCTTGTGAGTAAACTGTGGCATGAAGACCCTATTGAGGTCGCTGGTCTCTTTCTTTCTCTCTCTTTCAAAGGAAATAAGCTTTTTTTTTTCTTAGAGGTTTTTGCTATAGGGCGCGTGCGCTCGCCAGAGAGAGACAGAGAGACAGAAAGTGAGACATCACCCTCCCAAGGGGGATGGCCATGCCGCAATCCCTTCTCCTCTATTCTCCCCTCAGGATCTTGGGCACGCACGCACACGCGCCCGGCGTGAGTTTTAAGCCACCGGGTCCGGGACGCGAACCGTGGTCGACTACGTGGGAATCCAGTGACATAGCCATTACGCTAACTACTGGTCCCCAAAGGAAATAAATAAACTTTTTAAAAAGTATTAAAAATAGTAATATAGGGACCAGCTGATGGTGCAATGGTTACATTTTGGGACTCCACATAGTCAACCACAGTTCGAGTCCCAGACCCTGCAGCTCATATCAGGCATGTATGCATGCATGCCCAAAATCCAGAGAGGAGAATGGAGGAGAACGGATTGTGGTGTGGCCATTCCCCCTGGGGGGGGATTCCTTGTTTTTGATCTCTCTGTATCTCTCTCTGTCTTTCCAGCAAGTGCATGCACCCTCTAGTAAAAATCTCTCTCTCAGAAAAGAGTAATATATATATTACATATTTCTTCTTATTTAAGCAGAGAAATAAAGTACAAAATTAAAATTATTATAAAATTATTACAATCCCAATTTTACAGATGAAAATATTAACATATAGAGAGTTTATATAGAGAGTTACATGAAGAATTTATGAAATTTTAACTTACAAAATAACATTACTAATAAATGGTGGAGCTGTAAAATTCAAGCAGTCTGACTTCACAGCCCACCTGTAACTATAGCCTCTCCTTAGTGAGGAATTAATACAATGAAAGAAAACACCAGGAGCCTCAGATACTTGGAACACTTAAAAGATCAAGTCTTAAAATAGAGATCTATAGATCAAGTTAAGCCTACATTAATGTATATTAATCGAATAGTAAAACTGAAATATCCAGTAGCCTAAGCCATGAGATTCATACCATTCCCAAGTGCCTTATTGTTTTAATGAACCTGCAGTCATATTACTAGTCACATTATTTTATTATCATACTCAATTGAGTTTTCTATTCAACCATACCCTTACTGCTACTCAGTAATATCAGGATGTCATGGCTACACATTGGATCAAAGGATGAGTGACATACTAATTATACCATAATTTACCAATTCCTTACCAAGTGTTCCCTATTAATATTACCATATAAGATCTGAATACTGATATACTTAAAAAATTACTATACTGTTAAAAGGTCTCCTACCCACTCACCTAGGAAAAACTAATCAGATAAACTTTCCAAACAAAGATACTGCTTGTCTGTAAATACATTATTTCAATAGGTGATTCATTATAAAACACTTGAGAAAGATATTTGAGAAATGTTACTCCCAATAAGCAGTTTCCATCTATAATGTGCACTGGAAGTAACTCTCAAAACAGTTCCAAGTAGCCATTACTGAGAAACTCTTCACATACGTGTCCATGTACCTGAATATCCACCATCTAGCATATTGTAATACCTTCTGCCATGAATCAACAAATTAATATGGAAAGCAGAAATGACACAATAGCAATCACTGTACGTCACTTATACTATCTACAGTTTTAATATATATTCTGCATCTAAAATAATATTATGTATAAAAGGTATTTAAAATATCTGCATTAAATAAATAAAGACACTTGTGCCACTAAAATAAATCACAGATTATGAAGTTATGAACGTGCTTTATTATCTTCATCAATACTGTAACACGATGGCTGGGAGAGGGATCTTTAGAGTGGACTGTCCAGGTTTATCTCTCAGTTCTGCCATTTTTACCTGCAGGAAATTAGGCAACTAGGTTTTATTTTCTTTCTGTAATATGGATAAAAAAAAAAAAAACAAGACTGTTGTGAGACTAGAATGAAATGGCGCATGTACAGCGACTTTGAGCAGAGTCTGGCACATAATAAGTACATACTGAATGTTAGCTCTATCTTTATATCTATCTCTATAAGTATATCTCCATATGTATAGAGAAAGAGCTTGGATCACATCTTGTAGGCCAATTTAAGAAGTTGTGTGTAGCATCAGCTGGGATACAAAAGCCACAAACTACTTTAAAATCCAATGGAGAAATTAAATATACATTTGGTGGCATTTCAAAAAATATATCTAATTATTCCTTTTAAATCTATAATATCTAGAACAATCTATATGATCCTTCAATGCACATTTTCCTTTCCATTGTAACTCCATGGAAGTTACAAGAAACTGAATTATTCAGCAGTAAATTTTATTTAAATATTTATTACATATATAAACTTTAATATATATATATATATATATATATTTAAGTACACATGTATACATGTATACATATGCACATATGTGTGCACATCAATGTTCCTACTATTGCTTTTTAAAAGTGACAAAATTTCACCTTCTTGTAGAAGAAAGCTAAGAAGGAAGAAACTTAAAAGCCAAAGTCTTTCTGAGCCATTGCTACTATACTGAGCGTTGAACTCCTGGATTCTAGATAGAGAGAGAGGTTTTCATTTTCCTGTATCTTCAAAAATGTATAAAGCAACACTGTCCTACAGAAATAAAGAGTGTGTTCTAAATTTTCCAGTAGCCACATTAAAAATGTAAAAAGAAACAGGTTAAAATAAGCTTAATATATTTAAGGCAATATATCTTAATACTGTTAGGTCATCAGGAAAGTCATGACACATTTTTCTGTTTTTCTACTAAATTGTGTCATGACTTTCCCAATGACCCAATATTTCAATATATAATCATAGTTTTTAAAATTAAGTAAGATATTTTTACATTCTTTCTTTCAGCCTAAATCTTTGAAATGCAGGGTATATTTTATACTTACAGTACATCTCATCCACATTTCAGGTGGAACATATGAGTAGCAGCTACCATATTTGAAAGCACAGATACAGAGGGATGCTGAGGACATTTCTTCATACCTTACTAACTCTCATATTTCTATCTCAAGATATAAGGTCTCAATACATGTATATGTTGCAATTGATACGACCTAAGCAAATCAATAAGCTAATGCATTCTAATGGTTCCATTTCCTAATATTCTAATAAATACAAGTGCATATTCTAATAAATAGAAAATATATTTCAGCTAGAGAATATATAACTGATCAACTTCCTACTTAGTCAAACATTTATTTATTTATTTGCCTACTGTGTGCAAAGGATTAGTCTGTAATAGTTCTTAACAACTATTTTGCAAATTAAAAAGCTTCTCATATGTAATATATGCCAATATTCTTTGATTGAACATCTTTATTTTTCACCCTCATGTTTAGGTAAAAGGAATGGGTAAAATGATTGTATTTTGCCTATAATTTACCATCGGTAGCATGATTTTTCTTGACTGAATTAGTGATGAAACAGTACTGTTCTGATTTAATACTATAAATTCAGAACAAATGGGACAGCATTAAATTCAGAAGTGCTTCTGGACCATTAACTTCCATGCTGATTTGATATGCACCATAGTATTCAGGCAACAGACTCAGGAATATAACCTACTCCTAAAGCAAACAGTATTTTATCTCAGAACCATCTGGGGTTCTCATCCTAAGGGCCACTTGCTTAGTGTTGTCTGGTGTTTTAATATCCTGAGGTATAGTACGGAGACCTACTTTATTAGCGAAACCCATTTTGCTAGGATAAGAAGACTAACATAGAAGAGATTATGGAGAGAACAAAATTTTGGCTGAGGTCCTTGTTTTCATTATTCAGCTCAAGAAAATCATTGGTTATACACGCTTTCAAAACCCTATGGTTTTTCTAAGGTACCAATAAAAGTGATACCATTCATAACGCGGACAGTGGTCTCTTTCATATATCGCCTATAGTAGCAAACTTAAGTGCCAAGCAGATGGTTGAAATCTGTTTTGTATAAAATGTGCATTTTTTTTTTCCAACTGTGTTCTTTGTATTCATATTCAGCCTAGGTTTTAGCCATCAAAACACTGGCACTATGTCGATCATTAGCAGCATTTTAGACAACTGGCAACTAAGGTATTCACTGTTCTCCACAAAATGTTCAGCTAATATTTCCCAGATGTATAATTAAGGCAAAAGATCATCTCCTTAAATTGGTATCAGCACTTTGGATGGCTTCTGGCTTTCAACAGATTATCAGTAGAAAATAATTTTATATCAAAAATAAGCGTTTTGTTCCTTGGTGATTTTTGTTAGTCTGTTACACTGCTCTGATAAAAGGAATTCCATGCATTTCCCCAAGCTTCACCTACAATCTAAATAATCTGTGTCTAATACAAAATCTCTTATGATGCATTTGCTATGAAAATGTATAATGTACTGTAACTATATAGATCAGATTTATTTAGTGTTTTTAATTTTGAAAACACTTGTATAAATAATACTTTAAAAAGCAACAGTATGTGATTTGTTTACATTAAATTTTACATCGAAAGAAAATTACTTTGTTATTATTCAATAATCGGTTCTATAAAATCATTCATTCACATAATTATACACAAATAAACTAACATAGTTTTCACAGTTTGATGCATAGGAATATGTTAAAACTGCAAATTCATTATTTAAATACCTGATTTACTGACACTTGCAAAACAAGAATTAGTGTATCAGATTTCTACATATGAAAGGACAAGAGATATGTTTTTA